AAAAATAATGGGGCAACAAATCCCCCCTTTTTGACACACAAGCAGATCCCCTAAATTTAAACCCTTTATCAAAATTATTTTGGGCCCAGCACTAGTTACCAGTCCCCCAAAACAGGGAAATTTACATGCTTTTAATAACTTAGAATTTTTGGACAACAGAGAGGGAAATGCCTTAAAAGGTTTTCGGGTTTTTAAAGGAAAAGACAAAATACGAAATTTTTAAAAATCAAACAAAATGCTGGGAAAAAAACCCATCTTACGGGTCATAAAAACAAAAATAAAAAGGGGTTTTGGGAACACCAAAACAAAATGCCCGGTAAATCTCCCCAACAGCCATAATAAAACGTTAAAAAGGGAAATAAGGAGGGGAAAACCCGGGGAAAATAGGGAAAGTTGGCATTAAAACACCCTTTTCAGAAAAAACATCAATTTTAAGGGTGCTTTTTTGAAAAACCCTCAAAACAAACTTTAAACATCTCCACCCGACACTTCGCTGAGGACCTCATCCTCCTCATCCTCCTCCTCCTCATCCTCCCTCCTTCCTCTCCTCCTCCTCATCCTCCTTCACTCCTCCTCCTCTCCTCTCTCTCCTCCTCCTCCTCCCTCCTCCTCCTCCTCCTCCTCCCCCTCCTCCTCCTCCTCCTCCCTCCTCCCTCATCCTCCTCCTCCTCCTCCTCTCATCCTCCTCCCTACCTCTGTCCTGTCCTCCTCCTCCTCCTCTCTCCTCCTCCTCCTCCTCCTTCTCCTCCTTCCTCCTCCTCCTCCTCCCTCCTACTCACCTCCGTACCTACCTCCTCCTCCTCCCTCATCCTCCCTCCTCCTCCTCCTCTCTATTTTTTTTGTATGTCTTCCTCTCTTTTTTATATCTTCTTTTCTTTTTTGTCTTGTTTTCTTTTTTGTCTTCTTTTTCTTATTTTCCTTCTTTCTTCTTCTTCTTCTTCTTTTTCTTTTTTTCTTCCCTTTTTTTCTTCTTCTTCTTTTTTTCCTTCTTTTCTTCTTCTTCTTTTCTTTTTTTCCCTTTTCCCCGTTTTCTTCTTTTTTTTTTTTCTTTTTTCTTCTTCTTCTTCTTCTTCTTCTTTTTTTTCTTCTTCTTTTTCTTCTTTTTTTTCTTTCTTTTTTCTTTTTTTTTCTTTTCTTTTTCCCTTTTTTTTTTTTTTTTTTTTTTTCTTTTCTTCTTCTTTTCTTTTCCCTTTTCTTCTTTTCCGTCTTTCTTTTCTTTTTTATTTTTTTTTTTTGCCTTTTTCCTTCCCCCTTTTCTTCTTTTTTTTTTTTTTCCTTTTTTTTTCTTTTTTTCCCCCCTTTCTTTTTCCCCCCTTTCTTCTTCTTTTCCCTTTGTCTTTTTTCTTCTTTTTCTTTTTTTCTTCTTCTTCTTCTTCTTTTCTTCTTTTTTCTTTTTCTTTTCTTTTCTTTTTCTTTTTCCTTCTTCTTTTCTCGTCTCTTCTTTTATTTTTTCTTCTTCTTCTTTTTTTCTCTTTTTCCTTCTTTTCTTTTTTTCCCCCTTCTTTTCTGTTTTTCTTCTTCTTCTTCTTCTTCTTCTTCTTTTTCTTCTTTTTCTTCTTTTTCCCTTCTTCTTCTTCTTCTTCTTCTTCTTCTTCTTCTTCTTCTTTTCTTTTTTCCCTTCTTCTTCTTTTTTTGCCCTTTTTCCCTTTTTCCTTTTCCCCCTTTTTTCTTCTTTTTGGGGTTTTCCTTTTTTTTCTTCCTTTTTTTCCCCTTTTTCCCTTTTTCAAAAAAGATTTTTTAATTTTTTCCCCTTTCCTTTTTCACCTTTGTGTCTTTTTTTTAATTTTTCCCCCCCCCCCCCCCCCCCCCCCCCCCCCCCCCCCCCCCCCCCCTCCTTCCTTCCTCCCTCCTCCTCCTCCTCCTCCTCATCCTCCTCCTCTCCTCCTCCCTCCTCCTCCCTCCAACAGAACCTGGTCCCGAATCCACACGGATTTCTGTGTATATGAAGGAAAGTTTACATTGAATGTACCTTCTTAAGCGTGTAGAAGGAGTCGTCTCGAAGCGTCTCCACCCGTCCAATAATATGAGGCTGGAACTGACAGGGGTTGCAGAGTTCTGTCATCGGTGCCCAGTTCTCGTTGAACAGCGGCAGCGTGAAGTCGATGAACTCCCTTAGAAAAAGGATGTGAGAAGACTGATGGAAGCTGCAATAATAACAGGGGCCTTAGCCCACTCTACATTTTTGCCTAAAAACTGAGTAAGGAATGGGAGCTAGGAACTTAGCGACCCCTGATGTTTTGTGTGTGTTAGCGCGCCTGATTTTATACTATATATATATATATATATATATTATATATATATATATATATATATATATATATATATATATATATATATATATCTATATATATGTAACAGCGGGCTGCGTGGATTTTTATCGTGGTATGGGACGCTGCAGTCGACCCAGCCTCAAATGGGTACCGGGATGCTGTCCTGGAGAAGTAAAGACGGCCGGCGTAATGCTGACCACATTACCCACCAAGTGCCGATTGGTCTGTAAAAAATATGAAACGCTCTGCCCATATGCCCGATGCGCCGAAAGGCATGAAAAGGGATCTTTACTTTACTTATATATCTATGTATCCAGCCTCAAAAGATGAGCAGTAACATTTTGGTAGTTTTCTTGGCGGAATATTATTGAGGAAAGGAAACAGGCAATTCTAACTGACGTATCTATGTAGCTTATAATTTGTGAATGTGTAACTATTCCTACTCCAAAGGCAGGTATCTGCCGCGTGACATTCCTGTTTGGGTCCAAGGGACATATTTTCAAGGTGGATGGACCCACTGAATCTCTGTAAGCATGTCGTAAAAGTCGACTAATTAAGGATCTGCTGAAATATCGGATGTGTTGGAACAAAAGACGCAGATATTGCAGCCTAGCTGTAAACCACAAAGCAATGTAACAGCTGCCTTTCTAAGGGCGAACGCAGAAGAAGAAGAAGAAGAAGAAGAAAAAGAAGAAGAAGAAGAAAAGAAGAGAAGAAGAAGAAAGAAGAAGAAGAAGAAGAAGAAGAAGAAAAAGAAGAAGAAGAAAAAGAAGGGGAAAAAGAAGAAAAAAGAAAAGAAGAAGAAGAAGGAAGAAGAAGTAGAGGAAGAAGAAGAGAGAGAAGAAGAGAGAAAGAAGAAGAAAAGAAGAGAAGAAGAAGAAGAAGAAGAAGAAGAAAAGAAGAAGAAGAAGAGAAAGGAAGAAGAAGAAGAAAAGAAGAAGACGAAGAAGAAGAAGAAGAAGAAGAAGAAGAAGACCGAAGAAGAAGAAGGAAGAAGAAGAAGAGAGAAGAGAAGAGAAGAAGAAGAAGAGGAAGAAGAGGAAGAGAAGAAGAAGAAAAGAGGAAGAAGAGGAAGAAGAAGAAGAAGAAGAAGAAGAAGAAGAAGGAAGAAGAAAAAAGAAGAAGAAGAACGAAGAAGAAACAGAAGAAGAGAAAAAAGAAGAGAAGAAGAAGAAGAAAGAAGAAGAAGAAGAAGAAGAAGAAGAAAAGAAGAAGAAGAAAGAAGAAGAAGAAAAGAAGAAGAAAGAAGAAAAGAAGAAGAAAAAGAAGAAGAAAAGAAAGAAAGAAGAAGAAGAAAGAAGAAAAGAAGAAAGGAAGAAGAAGAAAAAGAAGAAGAAAAGAAAGAGAAAAAAAGAAAGAAGAAGAAGAAAAAAGAAAAGAAGAGAAAGAAAAAGAAGAAGAAGAAGAGAAGAAAGAAAGAAGAAAGAAGAAGAAAAAGAAAAGAAGAAGAAGAAGAAGAAGAAGAAGAAAGAAGAAGAAGAAGAAAGAAGAAGAAAGAAGAGAGAAGAAAAGAAGAAGAAGAAGAAGAAAAAAGAAGAAGAAGAAGAAGAAGAGAAGAAGAAGAAGAAGAAGAAGAAGAAGAAGAAGAAGAAGAAGAAGAAGGAAAAGAAGAAGAAAAAGAAGAAGAAAGCTATTTAATTTTGTTGGAAAGAAAGAACAAACGACAGCAGAAATGGTACATTTACCTGAAAGTAATTGACTTTGGACACTTAACGTCAGCTCCAGTTGTCTTCATGGACACACCTATTGTAGTCCAAAAATCTATCAAGAAGAACTTCTCCAGATAACAGCTCCAGAGACGCTCTAGTGGATGCCGAACAAACATGACTCGAGTGGACTTCATGATCTCGGCAACATCTGCTTCTTTCTTGAAATCTCTTCTGGGCAAGTTGAAATGGCTTGTGTAGCGGATATCAAACTTGGAAATTTGGAATGGCATGTTGATGCCCAGATAAGACAGTTCATGTGTTGGTTTGTTGAGGAAAGAGATTACTTGTTCCCAGTAGGTGCATCCTGCTTTGGGAATTTTGCAGTAACTTATGTTATATTGTGGAAGCTGGTAGACCTCGGAGTCTATTGTGTAGGGGACTTTGAACTTGTCGCATTGAGTCTTTGTGTGGTTGAGTCTGTTGGTCATCTCTGCCGTCACTTTGTCGAAGTCCGGAAGTGGTTTTGTTGAGGGAGGATGGGCAGGTGGGGGTGGTGGATTAGGTTGACCCAGTGGGTTTGCAAGTGGAAGCTGTGGTTTGGGTGGGAGCGGTATAGAATTGTTTCCGCTGGCAGCTGCTGGTGGATTGACAGCCTCTTGGGTCAAAAGATTACCAACCGGAGCTGCATTTACGGTCTCCGCTGGATTAGCTACAAGACTTATAAGGTTAGCATTATTCGGTGGTTCAGCTGGTACAATAGGGATCGCTGCAGCAGGTTCATTACCTGCAACAGAATGTATGTCTGCACTACCAGGGTTCTGAAGAAGATTTGCTACTGGGACAACTCCAATGTCATTGGTTTTAGCTATTTCTGGAATATGATCGTTAGTTTGGAAAGAGGAACCAGCTGCGGAATTTGCAATTTCTGGAACCACTCCTAAAGCTTGGGGAGGTTTCAGGGCGGCAGAATCTGCAGACATTTTAGCTGTGTCATTGTAAACAGAGACAGGAACATTACTGGGAGGTCCGGCGTCGTCTGAGTTACTGTTCTCAAATGTTGGCACCTGCATCTTGAGTTCCT